TTATTTGTGATATTATCCAAATGCTAAACAGTTCAAAATGACACGTGAGACCAAGTATCAGAATATCATTTCTCCATCGGCAAAATGGTTTGGAGCTCTGTCTTTAAATGTGATAGAAGTCAGCAACCCAATTTCATCTTGTTAGAACCATTTTGTTTTGATTAAAATGAAAAATGAACACATTTTATGTAAACGTGTTTTTGTTTATAACCTTCAGACACAAACCCAGAAATATGCAGTTTGGTTGCATTTTGTTTCCTAGCTCCGTCCCCCTCTCACTGTTCCTGTTTCTCTGACTTTCCACCCTTTGTTGAAAACTAGCTCCCTCCACCCAGTTTGCAGTTACCTGTGTTTAGATTTTTGTTATGAATAAATTTTTACTCTTCAGCTTGTTACCTTTCTAGATTTAACAGTCTGCAATTCTCTGGGCCTAAAGAACGTTTATTATTAATTGTGTTTTTTTTTTTTTTTTTGGACAGGCAGCGTAAGAGAGAGAGAGAGGTCTTCCTTCCATTGGTTCACCCCCCAAATGGCCGCCACAGCCGGTGTGCTCTGCCAATCTGAAGCCAGGAGCCAGGTGCTTCTCCTGGTCTCCCATGCGGGTGCAGGGCCCAAGGACCTGGGCCACAGCAGAGAGCTGGACTGGAAGAGGAGCAACCGGGACAGAATCCGGTGCCCCAGCCGGGACTGGAACCTGGGGTACCGGCGCCGCAGGCGGAAGATTAGCCTAGTGAGCCGCGGCGCCGGCCTGTTTATTATTAATTTTAACATCACTTGATATTGCCTGTTTTTACACTTAAAATTAAAAGTAGTAATAGATTTAATCCTGAACCATCTCCTCCCCTGGAATAACTCTTTAAAAAAAAAAAAAAGATTTATTATTTACTTGAAAGAGTTACACAGAGAGAGAAGGAGAGTCAGAGAGAGAGCGAGGTCTTCCATCTGATGGTTCACTCCCCAGTTGGCTGCAACAGCCAAAACTGCGCTGATCCGAAGCCAGGAGCCAGGAGCTTCTTCCGGGTCTCCCATGCAGGTGCAGGGGCCCAAGGACTTGGGCGGCCATCTTCTACCGCTTTCCCAGGCCTTAGAGAGCTGGATCAGAAGTGGAACAGCAGGGATTAGAATCGGCACCCATATGGGATGCCGGCGCTTCAGGCCAGGGTGTTAACCCACTGTGCCACAGCACCAGCCCCTGGAATAACTTTCTAACTCACTTGAAAAACTGCGAACAGTCACCAAACTCAGGAAACTGCGTAAAATAGAATGTATCTAACTGCATCAACATAGGATTCAACTCAGAGACTTCCAAGAATAGGTTTCATTTCTGTACAGTATTTACAGTATTTGGATCCTGTTAAATTTTGGTCTATTCTTGACAAGCAAAAACTTCAATATACAGAATTTTGTCAGTTTCAAATTTTCTACCGTAATTCAGAAAAACCAGGAAGGACTTGGCCAGTAGGAAACAATTCTTGGTCATTTGTTCAGTGTTACAGTTTGGGGTAGTAGTAATTTTTACAGGAACCAAGACTTTCCAGTGATCCTCAAAGCGCTCATCGTAGGTGACGATCCCAGAATTACAATGGATGGACTTAAGAGTTTTTGATTTTATGATGGTGTTGAAGCACAATCTTTTTAGTAGAAACTAATTCAAATTTTGAATTGTAGTCTTTCCTGCGGTTAACAGTAGATACACTGTAAGATCTTCTCTGTGACAGTCGGGCAGCAGCAGTAGGCATTACTTCCAGCCAGCCATGTGATCACAAGGGTGAACCATGGATACTCTACAATGTACAGTGTTGCTAAGCTGTGGTCTGGTAGATTCGGTGTAGTCATTCATTTACAGTGGATTTATTACAGGTAACCAAATGGGTGGAAGGGGCAGCAGCAGGAAGGGTATAACTAGAGCCTTGAAGCCAGATGATAAGGAAGATACAGCCACTGCCAGGGATAACATAAGACACAAGGGAGTGGGGCACAGGGTGAGAGACGTCACGTTTCCTCTTTCTCCTGCTCTCTGATCCTCTGCTGTCACCTCCCAGGAAATGCAAGAATGAGGGTGCAAGGGAAATGTAACTCCTGCAGAAGCTGAACAGGGAAGCTGGAAAATGGATTTGATAGCTATTAGACAATGAACTGACGCACTTCGGAGAAAAACCATTGATCTGGCTGGCGGTAAAGGAGGAAATATTTAGTGGGAGGAAATCCCACATCCCTTTGTTTCATTAAAATTTTAATAGCAATATTGTGACACACAAAGAATTCTCTCAAATTTTCAAGTTGTTTTTTCAACTCATATAGTTTATTCAAGAATTCCTTAAATACCTATTAAATATTTACATCACGGCCAGCACTTTTGTTAACCAATGGAAATATACTAGTGAATAAGGCAAGTAGTCAAGGGTCTATTGGGTACACAAACATAGAAGTAATTAGAATTGCATGCATGCTTTTGGGGAAAAGTGCTAGGGAAGCTTATAGGAGGGCATTTTAGTTAAAATGATTGGGCTAGTTTGAGCTTTCTGAAAGCATACAGCAAGATGAAGTTAGAAACATGTGGTAGTCAGAATGGCCCCAAGCATGTCCACATCCCAATCCCAGGAACCTGCAGTTGTCACCTTATATGGTAAAAGGGATTTTGTGACCATGATGAAATTAAGAGTCTTGGAATGGGGGCTTATCTCGGTGGGCACAATATAATCGCAAGGGTCAGGGTCGGAGAGAGACGTGAGCATAGAAGCAGAAGTTGGACTAATGCTGTGCCATGAGGGGAAGGAACGAAGGGCGCCTCTTGACATGCAAAACCTGGCTCCTGCCATCAGATCAGCGTGGTGCGCTGGCTGCAACGTGCTGGCCGTGGCGGCCATTGGAGGGTGAACCAACAGCAAAGGAAGACCTTTCTCTCTGTCTCTCTCTCTCTCTCTCACTGTCCACTCTGTCAAAAAAAAAAAAAAAATTAAAAAAAAAAAAAAGCAATTGTCTCCTACAGTCCGGCCTCCAAAAGGAACGTAGCCCTGCCACCCATTTAAAATCCAGAACTGTAAGGATACGCTTGCATTGGTTTAAGCCATTGTTCGCTGTAATTTGTCACATTAGGAGGCTAATACCACCTGCAAAAGATTTTTGTTTTTTTGATGGGGGCAAAGGGCAAGCCTAAGAGAACAAATGGGGAGAGATTTGGAGAGGCTGGGAGAGCTGCCAACCATGCTGTGGGTCTGAGCACTGTGGGAAGGAAGGTGGAATAGGAAGTATTGTCACTCTCATTTCATCAGGGTCCATGGGGAGAATGCCAGTGAAAGCCATTCGTCGCAAGAGCTGTGTCTCCCAGGAACAAGCCTGACTTGCCATCCCTTCTTCCAGGGCTAGGGAGGACAGAGGCAGGGATGGTAGGCAGAACAATGCCCCCCAAAGATGCCTACATCCTAATTCCCAGAACCTGCTGGTATGCTCAGTTACATAGCTAAGGGGAATTAAGGCTGTTAAATGACTGCAGACAAGGAGGGTATCCTGGAGTATTTGGCTATGCCCAATAGGATCAAAAAGGGCTCATAAAAAGTAAAGAGGGAACAGGAAGATAGAACCAGGGAGATGGCAATATGAGGACACAGCCCAACAGTGCTGGACTGGAGCACCATGGGCTGAGGAGGTGCATAGCCTTGGAATCCTGGGAAGGGCAGGGCCATGGATTGTCCTCAGAGCCCCCAGAGGAACGCAGCCCTGCCAGCACCTTGATCTTACCCTTGTGAGACCCATTTCAGACTTCCGGACTACAGAACCATGAACCGACAATTTGGTGTTGCGTTCAGCCACTGAAGTTTGTGGCAGTGTTACACCAGCCGTGCAAAGCTAATACAGCAGGGGAGGCGCTATGGCACAAAGTCTAAGGCAGCGCTCACAGGCTCAGGCTCGCAGTCCGTCACAGTGCCCACTGGCACGGGTGATTTTATGCATCCACTCTGCTGGGCTTCAGGGCACTCAGCTATTCGGTTGACCACTGTTCTGGGTGTTTCTGTGTGAAGGAGCTTCTGCAAAACTTTCAAGGGGTGGACGGAGTAAAGCAGATTGCCTCCTAGTGTGGGGAGAGTCCATCCACTCAGTCGAAGACTTGACCAGAACAAAAAGGCTCACCGCCCTCAAGTCAGAATTTCCCCTCCTGACTCGGTTTGAACTTTTCCCTGCCTTTGGACACAAATTAACAAATCAACTCTTAGATCTTGGGCCTGATGCCCTTTGGACTCTAACCGCACCAGCAGCCCTCCTGGGTCTCCCCCAGACCTTAGGACCAGCTGCTTACAGGAAATGTTTGTACACACATTGGACTTAATAAAGCCCCAGCCAGAGATGTGAGAGGCCCTGTTTCATGGCTTCCGAGGTGGCTTGCGGAGGGGAAATCGTGCTGCAAGGCGGAGCTTCGTTCCAGGCTTGACCACTGCAGCTGCTCCGAGGGCCTCAACCGGTCCCCTCCTCTTCTCCGTCACTATCCATTCCAAATTCACCTTCGCCTTTCACCCTGGCAGGTCTTCGTGGCTGCCCTGGCAGAGTAACCCAAACCTTCATTCTTGAGGAGGTCCAGCCCATGAACATGAAAAGGACTGTGCCTTCAATTGCCCATTAACTTGTAGACTGCCCTTTTGGTTTAAAGACACCATTTTAAAATAACCTTTACTATAATGTGAGAAAGACCGTACAGTTAAGAAAGTCAGTTGACATAGGTTCCAGTGTAGCACAGTTCACCCCACATGCCCTTTTTGAGACACGGCCTCTCTCTTTGGCTAACAAGGAAATATCATGAAGACCCGCACCCTCTGTGTTGTAACCCCCCAAGAGCAATGATCATATAAAGGATCAGAACAGGCAGGCCTTCACTGGATCAAGTCCCCAGTAGTCCTCAGCTAACAAGTTAGAAGTCTGCTGGAGGAAGGGCTTCCTGGCAAAACAAACAGAGAACCTGTGTTTGATCTTTGCCAGATCACATTAGGAAAATAAATAGAAGCACAAACTCAAGTCAACAATCTTTATTGAGCTCCCACAGGGTGCGTGAATTTAGGATCTAAAATTTACAAGGTAGAAAAGGGTTACCTTATGTAGCCGCTTTCTTTATTTAAAAAAGCAAATTATGACTTCTGTATATAGTTCAAGTGAATCATTTATTTTGAGTGAGGCTCAGTTTGATGTTATATAAGTATTAATAGAAAAAAGGGAAAGTATAAACATTTCCCTGTCTACCAAAGAGGCATTTGGTACCAGGATAAACTAGCCTGTTGGTTAACAATAGCTGGTTCAAAAGGCTAGAGAACCTGAAAGAAAGATCAGATGTACTTGGAAGTCCTGTCCTAGGAGGGCTCAATCCCAAGAGAAGAGCAAAATGCCAAAAAACTCAACTGGCTCAAAAACGAGAGAGAGATGAAAAGATGAGTTAGTCACAGCTTTGGGGAGAAAATGTAAGAATCGATGACACTGACTGTAGCTAGATTGATCATCCAGATGTTTCCCTGGGGTGGTGAGAGCAGTCTGAGCTAGGCCAGGGAACTCCACACTCACGCCCCTGTGAACAGAGTGGTTTGAAATGAGATTCTCCAGTGCACCAACTGTGTTTTCAAGTATAATTCTGGCATTTGTACCTAGCAATGCAGAATAAAAGCAGCAAGAAGAGGGTGTCAAGTATATCGGACGTGAAGTGATTTGGCAGCCCTAGAACTCCCAGTCCGAGTCTTTTTCATCAGGGAAAGCACACTCTGGCTCAGTCCAAGGTAACACTGGAGGCAGTGCTGCTGACGGCTTGGCAGAGGCAGGAGGCAGCAGTGACAGGATGGAGTCCTGGCTTTCTTCTTTCATCTGTTAAAGAAATTCAAAATAAGGCTCTTGGTACAAATTTAATACATCAGTTTCGTTAGCAATAAGTAACTTCTAAAGAAATTATGTTTAAAGTATTTATATAGTTTTTAAGCATTTTTCCTAAAAATGCCTTTGATTCTGGTTACCTGAAAACAGGAAGAGAAGCCAAATAAATGGATTTTTATCAGATATAGTTTGCCCTTCGTCATGTGTAGCCAATATAGAAGGAGTCACTAATCAAAACCAAGGCTGAGCATGTAGTGGCAGGGATTATGGTCCGGTTTGTTTCACTCATTTTGTTTTACAGGACGGCTATCTTTCAAAAAGTCTGTAATTAAACTACCAAAAACTTTTCTGCTTTTTAACATTATTTTTGTAAGTTAATAGCATGATTCTTGGTAACCAAAGTATCCCATTAAACCAACAACATGGAATGGATTTTTTAATAGTATTTGAAAACACCTAGACAACAGAGGACAGATCAGCTCACCTGTTTGAAGAATACGTGAGACAATAAACTGCTTGCTGATGGCCTGAAATTTAGAAGAAAAAAAAAATTACAAAAACTAGACCCTCAAATTGGAATGTATAATAGTAGAAGTTAAGTTAGGAACTATAAAGTCCAACACTAAAATACTGAAAAAGAAATTATGTCAGAAGCTCAAATCTTGGCTCCAACTTTGACAAATGGAAAGAATTAGTTCTAGAGGTGTCCTTCAGTTAATCCATACTGAATATTTATTGAACACATACTATTTATAAGAAATTATGCCTGGCACTTTGGGGTTAAAAATGGTAATTAAGATACACCTTGGGGCCGGTGCTCTGGCATAGTGAGTAAGGCCGCTGCCTGCAGTGTTGGCATCCCATATGGGCACTGGTTCAAGTCCTGGCTGTTCCACTTCCAATCCTGATCTCTGCTATGGCCTGGGAAAGCAGTAGAAGACGGCCCAAGTCCTTGGGATCCTGCACCCACGTAGGAGACCTGGAGGAGGCTCCTGGCTCCTGGCTTTGGATCGGTGCAGCTCTGGCCGTTGTGGCCAATTGGGGAGTGAACCAGTGGATGCAAGACTCTCTCTCTCTGCCTTTCCTTCTCTCTGTGTAACTCTGACTTTCAAATAAATAAATAAATCTTAAAAAAGACACACACCTTGTTTCCAAAATACTAATGCTAATATATAGTTATCTATGGTAATAATTTATATTAGTATGGAAGCAGCTACTTACATTTTATACTGCTAATACATTTCTAAAATGGATTAATGCAAGTACAATAATTAATATTCAGAAAGACTAGCTGATTTTTACAAGGTGAGACTAGGCTAGGAAATGGTAAGGCTGAAACTGGTGACCAACTCTGTGGGGAGCAATCCGGACTAGACTGAGTTACTGGAATTAAGACTTATTCTATGCATCTGCTCTCCCACAATATGGCGCTGGGAGAGAAGTAAACAGCTTCCGCACAGCTGCCTCCAGTTCAACTGATAAACTGTAGGACTTGCTCCTGATTGGAGGAGAGCAGCGTACTCGGCGTGTGGGCAGCCGAGTTGGGATTGGCGGAGGAGGACTATAAAGGAGGAGAGAGACGGCATGCACCAGGAACATCTATGGGGAACATCTAAGGGAACCCGTGCAGCCCCCGAGAAAGCCGGCCGGTGGTGTGCCGCTCCCCTGCGGAAGTGGGGAATGTGGCCAGGGGGAACTGCCCTTCCACGGAGGTGGAAGGGATAGTAGCCAACCCGGGAAGAACCAGCAGCAAACCCGGGGAGGGCCGAGCAGACGAAAGAACAGCGCAGGGTCCTGTGTCGTTCCTCCACGAAGAGGGGGAACGACATAATGGTGCCGTGACTCGGATATGAAGCCTAGGCAGGGTTTAGTGTCGTTCCCCCACGAAGACGGGGAGCGACACAACTCTTCTGATTTTTTTTTTTTAAAGATTTATTTACTTATTATTTGAAAGGCAGAGAGTTACAGAGAGGCAGAGGCAGAGGCAGAGAGAGAGAGAGAGGAAGGTCTTCCCAACCACTGAATTACTCCCCAAATAGCCACAACGGCTGGAGCTGAGCCAACCCGAAGCTGGGAGCCTGGAGCTTCCTCCAGGTCTCCCACATGGGTGTAGGGGCCCAAGCACTTGGGCCATCTTCTGCTGCTTTCCCAGGCCATAGCAGAGAGCTGGATCAGAAGTGGAGCAGCCAGGACTCGAACCAGCACCCATATGGGATACCGGCACTGCAGGCGGCGGCCTTACCCTCTATGTCACAATGCCAGCCCCAACTCTTCTGATTTTCAATCCAGTGTTCTTCCATTTGCTTACTACCTCTACTTGTTCCTTTTATTTTTTTAAAAAAGATTTATTTTATTGAAAGTCAGAGTTACAGAGAGAGAGAGAGAGATCTTCAATTTGCTTGTTCACTCCCCAGATGGCCACACAGCCAGCAATAGGCCAGGCTGCAGCCAGGAACCAGTAGTTGCATCCAGGTTTCCCATGGGGGTGCAGGGACCCAGGAACTTGAGGATCGGAAGTGGAGCAGCCAGGACACGACCTGGCACCCATTTGGGAAGCTGGTGTTGCAGGCAGTGGCTTTACTGTGCCACAGCACTAGCCCCCTCTACTTGTTCTTAGCATCATTATTTTCTGTTTTAGACTTGACTTTTTTGGTCAAAGGATAAAACATTTGCATTTTGTGGGGAGGGAAACACCACGAAGCTCCTGTAAAACATAAAACATGCACAGTTTATGCTGCTTAGGAGTGACCGGTATTACCTTTTCTCAGGATCTTGTTGCAAACAGAGCTGTACCAAGCTAAAGAAAGCCGGAGAGAAGGTTTTTGAGGCTGGTGTGTGCAGCCGGTCACTGTTCACAGTGTGCGTCCCACTGGACACAAGCACGCTTTCTCCAATCCCAGAGTCTACACCTGAACGTGAACTTCTCATTCTGGAGTCTGACTGGGGGAAAATACTGACATCCAGTGGGCTGTAAGGAGGACCTTTCAGTTTCTGTAACAGCATCTAAAAGAAAGAAGAATTTCCTTCAATTCTCTGCAGGCAAAATTTCAAATAAAAAATAATAGCAATAAAGTTCCTAAGAGTCTAGAGCAGCCACGACTGACAGGAATGATCTGGAATGAAAGAGCTCTTATGCAAGGCCAAGCGGTTCAGGGATTTCAGCGGCACGTACCTGAGTCCTGTGCATGTCCTGGAAAGGTACCTGGCCACTGGCTAATTCACATGCTGTAATGCCAACACTGTAAATATCTGACTTCACATTATATCCGTGCAAATCCTGCAAATACAATTAACGTGGTGTTCCTTAGTGGCAGTAACTGAACAGAAGGTCACACGCATGTGCTCTTTTGTTAAAGGATGGTGAACAGTAATAGGGAGGAGGTCCCATAACAACACCTAACATACGATATACAATTTAAAATCCCTAACGTAACTTGGACAAGCGAAAAGAGTCTTGCCGGAGGCCATTCACCAATCCAAATAGAACGACACAACTGTCCTTCAGTCAGACTCAGAGGACACTGGAGACGCACAGACAACCCAATGCAACGGCCACACCTGACCTGTCTCAGCAGTTCTGGACTCAGCCACGGCTGCACGGACGTGCTGAACTGTGGGAAATCAAACACAGCCCTATGCCTCTGTCCGTGCTTAATCAAACTATGCAGGTGGGACAGGCCAGAGAGTGTCACCAGGCCATCACCAGAAATGAGGATATGACTGGCTTTAATACTCCTAGAACAAAAAGAAACAATCCTAAGTACTGGGAACGTGGCCCATGAAGAAAGTAAAAATCTGGTCAGGACAAATCCATGTATTCGCTTGGAAACTAAATCCCTTTTATGAACCAGCAGTGTGTGATATACACTGCTGTGAGTACAAGGAATTAAAGAACTCGTTCAGCTACTGAATATAGCATGAAAGCAAAGGACAGAATCATTGAAAGCTGCTTGTTGGAAGTGATAACGTTTGCAAACAAGAATGGAATCAAATAATTAAGTTTTAGGATGGTATTGCAAAACACCTAAGGAAAAGTCCAAAGAAATGGACTAGAAGAAATCCTAGAAGCCTAGGATTGTAACTTAAAGTTAAATGCAATACCAGTCAATAAAAGACAGCTTCTCCTGGCATAACATCACTTATAAAGATATCTTTTATATAAAATTTCCCTTTCAGCATCAGAAAAATTAATTCGTTTTTCATCCAAGATACTGAATGTGGAAACTAGTGGATGGCTAATGAATTGGTAATGTATCATAAAACCTCAAGTCATTAGAATCCAGGCTGTTTCAATCACCAGTTAACCAGAATGCCAGTTAAAAGACAATGAAGAATATGATCAAAAGCCTTAAGGAGATTGAAACAATTAAAAAAGTAAGCGCATCTGAAAGTAACTTAATTAACAAAACAAAGCCCCAGCATATACCAAAACACCACGGTTTTTGCATTCGGCCAATTACTTCCTCATTTACAGTTTGGTAACAAGAAAATTGACATTTAGTATCATCATCTCAAGGTACTGCAAAATATTTTAAAAATCAAGGAAAAATTAATTATAGTTATACATGATTTAAACATGCTACAAGCTGAAAAGCAGATAAAGAAGTTCTTTATTTGCTTAAAGAAAAAAAAGAAACACACCCCTCCCCGAAAATTAGGTTCCCATTCCCTCTAACTTGTACCCTAAACACAGCACAGACTCTTACATCCTCATCAGACTGCGACTGTGAGCTTATGAAAGCAGGGGCTCTACCCCAGCGCCAAGCTTAGCACTCTCATTTTAGAAAATATGGATAAGTAAATACCTATGAATACAGCCATTTTGGTGCAGATAGTTCAACCCTCTTACTGCTCCAAAGAGAATGTTTCTTATTAAAGTTTCACTCATTCCTTCAGGGAAGTAGGTCTTCAAGAGGTGCCTTGCTGAACCTAAAAGAAACCCCTGAAATCTTGAGATGAACAGTGAAAGTGATTTTGCTTCAGCTACATTTTAAATGTTCTTTTCAACCAAAAAAACCACATACACATACACACACACACAGCTGTTACTTTTTGGAGTCGAACTACTTTCCCAGGCAAACGTGATTTTCCTTTAAGAATCTTAAAAGTATTTCTTCTAATGATACTCCGGAGATTAGGAAAGAGAATTAACAATTTTTCAAAATTACTTAATGAAAATATATACTGTATTTGTATGCATGTGTATGGATTTTTTTTAATTCAGAAACAATCCACAAAAGCTCTAGAATTCATTCGTCATCTAGAATTCATCAAGGCTCTAAATTCATTTGCTTATTCATTCAAAACACTGAATACTATTTTGTGCTAAGTATTATTACGTAGATAGCTGGGGACACAACAATGGAAAAGACATGAGTGATGCTTGCCCTCAAGAAGTGCACACTCAGAGATGCGAGAGAAGCTTACAACGCAGTGGAACAGGGATGTGTCTGGGAAAACGGCTGCTGCCTGCCACGTCACAGCAGGTCCCCGCGGAGAGAGGGGAAGGAAACGGACGCCAGAGACAGCTTGTGCAGAGGCAGGAGAGTGTTGCAGAAGCAGCGGCAATTTCACTGATCATCACATCTCTTCTGCTTTCTTCTAAGCCAGAAATTTGACATGAACCAGATACAGCAGTATCGCATAAAATCCAGACTGAACCAGGAGGCTTATAATTTAAAGGTAGTGAATCTTAAATCTAAGATTTCACTCATCTTTATAATAGTAGCATCCAGGTCAAAATGAGGAGTTATTTATTGAAAACCAGTTTTCTTACCGTAGGCCATAAATGGGGAAATAACCCAAAGCCAGCTGCCAACAGTGAAAACTGTCCAGTAAGTTGTAATATTGGGGTGTCGGAAAAAGTGGGATAGGATCAGTCCTTTCTAGGATAAACACACAAGAGACAAGACATTTAATACAACCTTTTTTCTTACGATGAAAAGAATAGCAAGAGTGGCAGCTGATACTCAAGGGAGTGAAACAGTACTGAGTACTGTTCTTAGTACTTTCACTTCCGTAAACCGCACAGCCACTGCACAATGATGTGGCACTAGGACCCTCACTGTACAGCGGCTGACACTTAGAAATCAACGGAAAACTCGCCACAAAGCACATCATTAGTGAAAGAAGAAGAAGAGACTAGGGACGTTGACTCTGACCCAAGAGGCCATACTCTGAGAAACTATACTACGTTCTCACTAGAGAAGCGCATTCAGGAACACACAGTGTGCGAGAATAAAGGTCACTCGAACACCACATCACAGAGAGTGACGTTTCACATTCTGGCACAGTCTTCAAGTCCTCCTCTGCACCACCTACGTGTGCATTTTTAAAAAGCGAAATGTCAAAATCCTATAAAAGTGATTAGTGACCAGGAAAATGGTGTCATAATAAACCTGCCCCGTATTTCTCTCCGCATTGGTCAAGTTAGCCGCTCATTCTGCTTAGCTGGATGCGAGGAAACTGCTTCCTGTTTTTGTTTCCCTCAGTGACTCCTCGTGTGGGACGGACCAGGGTGCTCGCAGGCACCAGACAAGCCCCACGAGTCTGATGCTCGTGCGAAGGAATGAAGAGCAGTTCGCAAAGTTTGAATATATTTGTTCTTGCATGGACTGCATCTGCTTTCCAAGTATTCTGTCCAATTCTATAACTCCATGTTAATCAGAAGGAAGAAATCTACCTTTTCCTAACAGAAACAATGAGTTGGGAAGGGGGTAGTTCTGACAGGTGTAATCCCCTCAAATGGACTCTGTAGCGTTTTCTTCCAACACTCACCTGTAAGGCTTTCAGGCGCTCTTCGGTGCAGTTTTCCAGATTGGTAATTTTTATGGTAACCAGTGTTCCTGTAGGAGTGTGCCGGGCCAGATGGACAGAGGTCAAGTTGTCAAAGCCTCTCCCTGTAAAACTCACGAGATGCGTTAGCAACCAAGGAAGAAGACAACTGACAAACTGGGACTTAATCAAAATTAAAAACTTCTGCTCTTTCAAAAGCAATACTAATAAAATGAGGAAGTAAGCTGCTGACTAAATGTATTAACAGAATTTGTATCTGACAAGATCTCCATCCAGAACATAGCACTCAAACAGCTATATGATAACAAGTAATCCAATTAAAAAAATGGGCAGAGAATTACATGGGCAGTCCACAAAACAGGATATGGGAATGGCCAATAAGCCTATGAAAAGATGCCCAAGACAGAGAAATGCAGATTGAAACAACGACATCCCATTACACATCTATTATAATGGCTAAAATTGTGACTTGATAAACAAATTATGATATATGCAAACAATGGAATGCTATTCAATAGCCCCTACCCCAACTCCCAGCCCCTGGCAACTACTCATCTGAGTTTTCCTTCTCATATAAATGGTATCTCTGGTTTTTTTTTTTTTGTTTTTTTTTTTTTTTAGACTTATTTAAAGTAAGAGTGTCAAAAAAGGAAGAGACAGAGACAAAGAGAGAGATCTTCCACCCACTCTCCACTCCCTAACTGGCTGCCACAGCCAAGTTTGGAGCAGGCCAAAGCCAGGAGCCAGGAACTGCACATCACCTTCCACATGGGTGGCATGGGCCCAAGTACTCGGGTCATCTTCCGCTGCTTTCTTGGGCACATTAGCAGGAAGCTGGCTCAGAGGCAGAGTAGCTGGGGCTCACACCAGCACTCCAATGTGAGCTGCTGGCATCCTAAGTGACCGCGTAACCTGCTCTGCCACCACCCTGGCCCCGCTTCCTTCTGTGCTTAGCTTCTTTCACTAGCACACTGCTTTTGAGAGTCATCCATCACTGTCATCTATATCAGCAATTTCTTTCTACTGCTGAACAATAATCCACTGGATGGCTATATCACAATTTATTGATCCTTTGAAAGACTGATGGATATCTGGGTGGTTTTCAGGTCTTGGTGACTATAAATAGAGCTGCACAAATATTCCTATAAGGTCTTTCGACAGGCAAATGTTTTCATTTCCCTTGGGCAAATAAGCGATGCTGCAATCCATCTCCTCCCCCCCAGCGTCTGCATCACTGCTTGGCTCCGGCCCTGTCCTCTCCCCTTGGACACACGCACAGCGACATCTCCCCTGCTCCCTGCATTCCCCAACCAGGGCATGCGCCAGAATGACCAAGGGAACTATTTGCAAATGTAGATGTCTCGACCCCACCCCCAGGAGTTCTGATCTGTCACACTGTGGAGGAACAGACACTGCAATGTTCCAAAACACACAGGGGTGAGAGGGCCACTTGGGGTTGTGATTCACTGGTCCACTGCATCTTCCAGCCTGCTGCCAGAGTCGTTCTAAATGGAGCATTTTATTCCTGGGGAGGCACTGCTGGGAAGCAGCTGGGAGCTTGGGGCAAGGTCTGGTTTCTAATCACCAGCTGCAGGACGGTCTCACAGCCCCAGGGTCCTCATCTACAAAATGGAAGTGGCAAAGGGTCAAAGGAGAAAAAGACCCGCTAGCTCTGCAATGCGACTCCTGGGTGCCCTTACTCCCACCATCACCGGTCCCCAGGCCCCTCCAGCAGACGCGATGCACTCCCAACTGCTGCCTGGGAGTCACAAAGGGGTAGGCTGTGGGGGCCGGCAGAGAGTGGCACTTCCCAACACATCACACGAAGTCCTTCCCCGCATGTCCCTCATCTGCCTCTCCAGGTCCATCTCCCAGCACTCCCTCCCTCCCCTCGCTCCCACTTGTGGTCACAGAGATTCTGACGGGTTTTCTCCCTCTCACCAGCCTTCCTCAATCCCTGTTGTCTGTCTTTAGTTGGGCACCACTGGAACCTTTCTCATTCGGGGGAATTTGCCAATTTGCTGCTTTAGAAAAGGTACCCCTTGGCCTTGGACCTGGCATGTGGCTCACAGTTGGCCAACTGGAAGACGGCGTGAGTGACATGAAGAGGCAGGGGCAGTCAGAGCTCGCTGCAGAGGGGCCCAATGTCCGTGGCAGGAGTCACCCACCGGCTAGGGCACTAACGGGCTGCAGGCCAGCACTGTGGCACAGCAGGTTAAGCCGCTGCCTGCGATGCTGGCATCCCCTACGAGTGCTAGTTTGAGTCCTGGCTCTTCTACCTCCAATGCAGCTCCCTGCTAATGCACCTGGGAAAGCTACAGAAGGTGGCTCCAGTGCTTGGGCCCCTGCACCCACATGGGAGACCGGGAAGGAGTTCCAGGCTCCTGGCTTCAGCCTGGCCTAATCATGGCATTGTGGACATTTGGTGAGTAAACCAGAGGATGGAAGCTCTCTGTTTCTCCTCTCTGTCTCTGCCTTTCAGATAAACAATAAAATACTAATAAATAGATCTTTTTTAAAAAGCATACTAAGTAGGCTGCTCCTAGTCCATGTCTCTGGTCCTAGACACCAAGCTCTATACTTTTGGTTCCTTCCAAGCCTATTTCTCTAGCCAATAATTTGTGAGTTAGCAACGTTGTTCAAAAATTCCTTGTTTTATTTGCTTCATTTAGCCAAGATTATTTCTTGTTACTTTTAAATAAAAACCCTGAGCAGAACAACTTGCAAACTTCTCATTCTTCAGGAGCCAGCCCCTTTGTGCCGTGTCTGTGGACGCCCGTGGGTCGTTAGCTGTTCACGCCCTCGTCTCTGTCCTGTAACAGCTGGCACGGAGCTCTACCACGGTACCCTCCAGTGCCTAAGACAAAGGTGCCCTTCGTGCTCGCCTGCTCAGGCATGGCATGAGCCACACACGGCTTTGCATCTCTGCCACCTAACACGGTCCGGGTGTGCGGTGTTGAACGGATGTTTCTGAATGTTCACAACTGTTCCAGATTATGAAGTTATAAAAGAAGCAGCCATCCTCTTCCACGCTTAACTGAGAAGCTTTCCACTGCAAATATGATTCAGGGAAAACTCTAAGCTAGGAAGCAATTTAGTTAAGGATCTGTGACTGCAAAGATTTGATATTAATTCATACCCAGTATAAATCATATCCGAAAAGTCGAAGCTTCCTACAACCAGGACACAAATAAGGAGTATTTAGATTTCTCAGAGCCTATCTCCTCTAAATGGGCTTCAGAGAAAAAGTAAAATTGTAGATTGTAATCCTGAAAAAGTCTGGGTTGTTATCTTTAGACAACACGTACTGAATCCATCAGACTGATACTAATATCTGGTTTCTGCTGTATGTTACCTATTTCCACTTGGAGTTCATAGTGAGAAACGTGGGTGGAATGGATCCCTTCACTGGCTCTAGCAGACGGAGGGAACCGGCAAAGGGGTGGCTCATCAACCTGCAGTTTTTAAAAACACGAGAACATAACAGGTAGAATAAGCGTTTTGAGTCCCTTAATTTTGTGTGCCCACTCCAATAGAAAATACTGATGTTGCATTTCCAAACACACAAGAATTCATCAGGAAGGCCCCGGAGCGGGGCTGAAGAGGCTGTTCTCAGAGCTACAGGGGAGTCCTCAATTGCGGGAAAATAGCTCTCCAGAGCAAGGCATTCTTCCCAGCACAATTTGCAGCAAGGCTTGCAGGAGCTGCCAAGGATGCCAACCAGCCTTCAGGGTGGCGGAGGGAAGAGCTGCAGGGGCCTGTGAGGGGCGCTGTGCTTTGCTCCAGGGTCTGAGGGCTGCATTTCCCCTCCCAGGGACACGCCCTAGGAGCAGAGGTGTTAATGCTCCAGGAGCGATTCCCACACCCCTGCTGAAGAGGCTGTCGCAGATGGAATGAATCAGAGGGAGGTCGGAAGGAAAGAATACATGCAAGGAGATGGGAGAACAGGGTGTAGCCCTGAACGAAGGATCCCGTGCCCTTATGAGATCTGCCAGGATGTTTTGGGTCTGCCCTGGGTCTGCATCTCTGCACGATGGCAGCACGCAATGCCTAAACCACTGGCGGCACGCGAGAGCCTGGAGGATCCTCCAAAGGGTGCTTAGAGTCTACAGCACCAGCAGGTGGCAGGAGTCCTGTTCCGGTCTCCAAGGTGAATAGGAGGAAAGGGGGAAATGACATTATTATGTGCTAGGAATTGTGCTAAATGCTTCTCACACCCTTGACTCTTTACTCAAGAGAAAGAGACGAAGTTTGAAACAGCGACAGATGCAGATTCACAGACAGGGATGGCTATGTTTCCTAAACTTCTAAGAGAGCAGAAAAAAAATCTTTAGCCCATGGCTAAAGATGAATAAAGGTGAATATTATTCAAGAGGAATGACAGCCTATAAAAAGAACGTCTACTACGTAATTGGAAATTATTCCAATGAAAAGAGAGGAGAATTCCAAATACATCAATTTGCTTTCTTTAGAACAGGTAGTCTTCAGATACATCATATCCGAAAAGTCGAAGCTTCCTACAACCAGGACACAAATAAGGAGTATTTAGATTTCTCAGAGCCTATCTGAGAACACATATAAGGAACACATATAAGAGATATACTAAACTGCTGTCAGTGGGTAAACTTGTCAGGAAGGTGAGGGACATTATGAACACAAACTTACAGTTCACTGCTTGAAAAAAAGTGGTATAATATTAGCGAGGGATGGCCAGAAAGCAGAGTTGCCAGCCTCTACTGGGCTTGCATCTTCTCCCCTGGGGAAGTAGGCTTCCATAAACCAGCAGGTGCACCTGGGTTGTAACTTAGCATTCAAAGTTCCAAACAGGCTGCTTTAAATCCATTCAAATCCCTAGGCCAAGGGCAACCACATGTGTGATATTAAATCCATAGATATGGTAGAACTCAGATGAGAAATCAGAACGGAAATGTCAACACCAACCCAATTTTCAAAAAGGGAGACAGCTACAACGGAGCAAGCTTGATGCTGCTTCCCAGAACACCTGAGAACCAATGCCTAGGTGGGTGAGTTACGAACACTTAAAAAGCCAACACGGCAACCAAAGGCAGGCAACACTGGCTCACTAAGTCATCCCACACTGACCCCTCTTGTCTTTGATGAGCTGATTGGTTAGAAAAGTAGAAAGCAAAAATTATGGCAGGGTTCTTGCCCTTGTTCTTTGAAATTTTTTAGCGACTTCTTGAAGATGCAAAAGGCATGTTTTAAAAAACAAAAAAAATCCCACAAATTGTACATTGCTAGGCACAGCTGATTACTGGAAGGACACCAGGACACACAACAGTCTTGAGGAACTAGAAGGACGGGCATCAATCAGTACCATTTTACAGGAATAAATGCAAAATCTTACACTTAAATTTAATAAAAAACAAAACAAACAAACAAAAAAACAAAAACGAGAGGCCTAATGATAAAATCAAGCATACCAGGTTTATGACCTGGAGGCGCCAGTTCACAGGATGACAGGGAAGGCTAAATCAAAGCACAATACAAGGCTGTATTTATAGAAACAGAACGCACAGATGGAAAGAGACAGAGCCGTCCTGGAGGCCGAGATGACTCGTCAGTCCGGGGAGCATGGTGGGTAGCTAACTAGCACACCACAACTTAACAGGCACACGGCAGACTAGAGATGCCTGGGGAAGGCCAACAATATCGCTATGGTTTTGGCAACACTGGAGGAACTCAGAATCCTTACTCTGGAGAAGAAAACCATAAGGATATGTATACAACCAATTTTCAATAAGTTCATGGAAAATGAATCTTATGAAAAAAACTATGTAGGAATTTCAAATTTTTTGGCACCAAAATAAACTCATCTTTTAATTCTATTTTCCTGGGAACTTTTTGGAGTATATATGGTTGTCACTTTCAAGCATCTAAAAGACTAATGTCTAGAAGACTAATGTCAAAGAGTAAGTAGAACAGAAAGCAGAGTTAAAATCAACCATCAGAAGCTACAGGAAGCACATTTCAGTTCAGCGTAAGAAATTCACTCAGCCGGTGCCGCCTAAGAGGATCAGGCATCAGGCTGCCTCCTAGCATCTTCCCCTCCACATTCATGCATCCAGACAGAGGGTGGATGACCACCAGGGTCAATACGTGAGGAACAAGGAGGAACAAGAACAGCAGTGAAGACCCGGTGCTCAGCAGGCGGAAGGTTGTAAAAAGAAAAGATCTGATGTGTTCAAATGTCTCCATGCAGCGAAAGAAAGGCCCAGTGGGATGAATTTCAAGTTCTCCATTATAAACTAAACTGCTTCTAATGAGCATTTGGCTTCTCATGGCACTTTACCACAAGGACAGCACATGCAAGGGAAGAACACCGAGCCTGGGAGACTGTGGCGATCAGCCTAATGACCTTGCCTAATGTGGTTCTGACGCTGCGATATGGGGCCACTCTAGGTCTGCTGCCCAAATCAGTTTCTGATCCCGAGAGCCTGGGGGACAGACCCCAAACCCTGGTTCAGTGACCACCAGGGAAAGGCAATCCGTGAAATGTTTTTGGAGAGAGCCCGCTGGACGTTCCACTTGAGGTGAAACACACCTTCCTCTATCATTATATTACTTTCTGTGCTACAGTACTTTTTATGTGAATTTCTGCAAATAACTCTCAGAGATATTGTAGGGAAGACTGCCTACATGGGTTGAAAATTGTACCAACTGGCCTTTTAGGAATCATAGAATTGCCAAAACTGTATTATGTTAAAAATCAGCATCTCAACTCAAACAGTGCAGCCTTTCATTTGCAAAATTAATTACAGAAAATGAGCTTTTCTAGAGACATAAGGGTTTTCAACGTTACAGGAGGCAGAAATCATTTGGAAAACCAGAAGCGTCCTCCAAACATGACATTTTAACATACTTAATACTGTCTATAGGCTCCGTGGAGAACGTGTTGCCCAAACAGAAGACAACAGATGGTGTTTTGAAGCATGACTCAGGCAGAGCCCAGGAAGCATTTTCTAATCGGCAGGCACCGGCTTCCAGCTGGTGTCAATTTACATTACATAACTTCTCCAGTTTTATTTCTCCACAAGAGACTTCACACAGACCCTGGCTCTGCTCTCCTCGCTTAAGATTTTAGTCTCACTCTAAGGACAGAGAGAGATGTGACATTCAGCTCCTTGAAATCTAACATAGCTCCAACCTGGAGTCTGGAGAAATCCAAGCAGCCACCTGTGGACAGTGTTCGGCCCTCTCCCTTCCTAACGGTGTGGACACACAGTCACTTGATCCTGAACTACCCCCACCTGGAGAGAATGACTTGAATCAAAACGCAGGCTGCAAACGACTTCCTACTGCATGAAAGCTCAGTGCCCGGAAGACTACAGACTGTGAGCACATAAACAAGACAAGAATGCGGGTAGCTGCAGACAGGACTGGGATACATAACAACATGACTGGGATTGCCTCATTTTGTAGCAAGCAAGGCATTTGCAAAGCAGGTGCCACCTGGAGTAGAAAGTGCAGTATAAAGCAAGGATTAAGGGGAGGAAAAGATCCGGAGAAATGTTTATTATCAAGCATGATCCTTTAAATACTCTTTTACCTATCAGGCCTTGCGCAGGGGAGATAGGGATGACTAAGACAGACTGCCTTATGGGGATCACGTTACGGTTGGCAGGCATAAACTCCAGTCATTGTAAGATGAGTACTTCATGAGTGAGTACCATTTTATGGGAATGTCTAATGCATGTAGGACTGTAATGGAATGATAAGTACAAGCAGCAAGGCTTTCTAAGTGTGGTATTTGAACCAACCCGTTTATAGATAAGGAGGAATTTCAGGGGGGAGAAAAGAATGAAGAGTATTTCAAACAGAGAGAAGAGTATGTGCTAAGACTCAGCAGCAAGAAATTAAACTCAAAAACTAGACATATTCCATGCCGCTAGGAAGAGAAGTTTAGACTTTGTCCATCGGCTTAGCAAGCCAGCTGAGATTTGAAAGATGTCTCAAAGTGGCTCAAGCAGGCGCGGGATGGGTGCAGTGCTGAACGCTGCTGTGCGTGGACGGAGAAGACTTCCACACAGAATGTGTGTGTCCGGGGGACAGGAGGCAAGGAGGCCGCCGCAACGGGTCCTGGGAAGCTGGGGACACGTGAGGGGTCGTGGTGCACCTGTGAAGGGCATTTCAGAGGCGGTGTCTACACAAGGGGCAGAGGCGGGTGCTGTATGTGGATGACTCCAAAGTTTCTAGTTAGGGTGACTTATAGATGGATTTTCATAGCCAAAGCAGGAAATAAATGGGTCGGTGAGGTTTGGGAAATTAAGCTTTCACTCCAAGTCGCAGTGCCTTTGAAAACCCAATCAGAGGTACTCTACAGATACTTCTGGGGGTCAGCAGAGAGTCTGGGGTGACTGGTGGAAATTTGAGGATCATCAGTTCTTCTGGAAGCCGGGGTCCCTTTAGGAGACTTGAAGTAGCTCCAGGACAATCTGAAATTTAAGCAACTGAAGTCACAGGACTAGGTGAGACTTCCCAAGGAGCGCCAGTTTAGGTAGAGAAGAGGCCAATCGTAGGCTCATGGAGAAGGGGTAGGAAGAAGACACAATAGAGGAAGCAGTAGAGACAAAGAGGTATGAGACGAGCAGGAGTGAACGTATGACAGATGTACGGAGGGTGCAGGAGGAGCAGGAATCGCACTGGACCGTCTGCTTACCGGGTACTGATGGATGCTGCTTCCAGACTGTTTTTCAGATCTCAGTGATTCAACTTGTGTTCGTGAGGTGCAGAAACAATCCTGGAAGTCAGAAATGCATTAAATAAGTGAAAAATAAGGCACTGGATAGACAGGGGTCGAGCGTGGGGAGAGAAGGGTTGGAGACTGGGGTGGAGAGCAGAGAGAAAGGGCAGAATGCGGGAACCTACGATGGAAGTCAGGATGCACAGCATGGAGGCGCCCAGGAGGCACCGGCGGGTGTGCAGAAGGTAAGTTTCGTATCTATTAGAATTTTACTTGGTGCTACCTCTGATGTTCTTAAAGATCGCATATAGTCATATATCTTTTCCATAAAAGCATTCTTATATCCACGTTGCACCAATCAGATGCTAGTGAACATGAATGGCTCACGGAGCTTTTTTTTTTTTTTTTTTTTGACAGGCAGAATGGACAGTGAGAGAGAGAGAGACAGAGAGAAAGGTCTTCCTTTGCCGTTGGTTCACCCTCCAATGGCCGCTGCAGCCGGCGCACTGCACTGATCCAAAGCCAGGAGCCAGGTGCTTCTCCTGGTCTCCCATGGGGTGCAGGGCCCAAGCACTTGGGCCATCCTCCACTGCCTTCCCGGGCCACAGCAGAGAGCTGGCCTGGAAGAGGGGCAACCGGGACAGAATCCGGCACCCCGACTGGGACTAGAACCCGGTGTGCCGGCGCCGCAAGGCGGAGGATTAGCCTAGTGAGCCGCAGCGCCGGCCGCTCACGGAGCATGAATCCTTCCAGCATCAGTGACTTAAATCACACAGAAGGAAGTTTGCCCGAATACCTCTCCTACTGCTTTCTCAACCATTATTGTCATAGCTGAGTAAACAGCAGTTACACTTCATAAAGAATTTAAAAGAAATATTTTACTTATACTGTTCCTTTGAAAACACCATTCCTTAGTTCTCAAATAGAAGGTAAAACTTGAAGAGGGGAGGAATCCTTCATATGAAACAACTTCAACTTGATCTCATTTGTACACATTTCATCTCTAGGACAAAAGGGGGAATATTTTGATTCAAAGGATTCTAAAATATTTCATGATTGCAGGAATAAAATAAAGTTAAAATTATTAACAAATTGATCTAATATAAACCACTCATCATATTCTATTACTTTTCACAAAATCCATAATTATGAAATAATACATTAGGAAAGATATCCTTTTGCCTAAATTTGGAGGCCCTGAGCAACTACACAGTCCTCTGAATTACAGAATCCGCATCTACTAAGTGTAAAAACTAGACCAACTGCCCTTTTACATCTTCTCCAACTGACAAATTGATACAAAAATGTAAATCTTACATGTGAAAATGTAAATCTAAAGGGGTCGGCAAACTCTGGTCCAGGAGCCCAATCTGACTGATATCAGTTTTGGCAGATCAAAGTTTTGCAGCAACACTGACACTCGTTGGTTTTCATTCATTTACATCTTGCCCATGGCTGCTTTCCTGCTACAAGAGCATAGCAGTAATTTTAGCAGAGACCACGTGCAAGCAGACACTAATTGCCCTGTACAGAGAAGGGTGCTGATCCCTGTTCCACGGAATGAGGAATTTCACCTCAACGTATTTTCCAGATACACGAAGCTCCCCTCTCAAGGAGTAAACCTTTAAAATAACCACTTAAAGTAAATGTACTCTATTTTTCCCACATAACTAACAACACAGTCTCTTAACTTCATAGTTCTGCCTCTCAAACTTGGGGACTAATGGAGTGGATCGGCATAGAGGAATCTGAGATCTGGCTCCGGTTCTTGGCACTCTTGGGTCAACTCAAAAAGATGATGATACCTGCCAGCCTCTTAGAACTTTACAGATTAAAGATATATATGAAGCTATTCATCATACAAATACACTCACCAGTTTCTAGAAGACCACTATAGTAATATAATATAGTAATATAATAATATAATATATAGTATTATATTATATATAAGACATAATGAAATCCTTAAGCTGCTTAAGCTAAAGCAGATACAATGGATTCTAATAGAAACAGAAAACAAGTTGGCATCTGCATTGTACATTGATCCACATTTTTTTGGTGTGAGTCAAAGAGTTTATTCTTAAATTTATTTTCCTTGCCTTTAGTCAAATGGAAATTCATAAAAGGGATCTTTTTTTTTTTAAAGATTTAAAGGATAAGGTATAGCTAACTGGATAGGAATTAACCTATCTAAGTACAACATGTATATGTGAAAAAGTGAGTATGGGAAAAATGATTACAAAAATTAGTATTTCAGAAAATAGAGGAGCAGCTCTTTTTGAAACAGACAAAAACTCAATGAGAATCTACTTCATTTCTCAAGACCAGTCATGCAGGTCCACGCAACGAATCAGGGCCCTAGACCATTCCACAAGACTGTTCCTCTCCTCGGGGCTCTGCACACCAGCGAACAGCTCGCGTGGCACAAGCAGATTCACGTCAACAAACACTTACCAAAAGAGACATTGAATCGCTTTAGTTCACAGAAAGGGATAAAACTCCATCTATTCCAAAGAAGACTTTTTGCTTTATCTTCCTTTCAGGATCCAGAAATAGCCTACTACAACAACAACAACAAAAAAGCAAATCATTTAGATTTCCATAGGTCCTTGAAGAAGTGGTCGCCCTAAACCCACTTGGTATATATCAGCAATTCCTTGATACAAAGACTAGAAACATCCCCTAAAGGCGTCAGCAAGTTTCACTGAGAAAGGCTGAGTGACTAGCAGGGAGGTTCTGAACACTTGCCAAAGCGTCAATACACTTGCATCTTGCTTATCTTTTCTGTACATTTGTTTGTTGGAAGAACCTCAAGCAAATACGAAAGCAATATAGAAAAACAATTTTGGACCTATATTTGACATGACTTATAAAAATAAAAATAAAAAAACTCTCAAGAATTCCAAATACAAAAAACCAGAATTTTCAAAGTTTTCTGAGTGGATTAATCACTTATTAAATCAACTGGAGTTCCTGACCACCAAATTTAGAAAAGAATCAGGATTAATCACAGACTAGAAATTCATGCTTCCTTGTTGATATATGGTTAGAAAAAAGAGAAAGACCATTTTTTTTAGTTTTCATGTGAAAATAACATTTTTATAGGATAAAATTTTTTCACCTTATGGATTTTTAGTCCTCAATTCTATTCTTGAAATTTGTTGATATTAAAGATAGGCAAATAATTCCTGTTCACGTTACTGACAACAGTGTTAATCTGCAGTAGATTCAGGTATAAAATAGGAACTTCTTCAGACTCAAGGAGATACCAAAGCACCACCAATGATTTCCAGATGTTTGCCAGTAGACGTCCAGCTGTTTGCTAGTAGACAGGGAAGCAATGTTCTAGACTTGCTAGTGCCAGTGGTCCCTTACCTGTAACCAACGCCCTCTCTTATCTACATTGCACTTACTTCATTTTAAGGAAGTTCCAAATTTGATCAAATCTACAAATACCTGACAATTGGAAGATTTTGTAACCCATAAACATTACAGAGCAGTAACCAAGTTTTTGAGAAGTTTGCGTGAAAGGCAGAGAGAGACTGAGAGACAGATCTTCCGCCAGTGATTCACTGCCCAAATGCCTGTAACAGCTGGGGCTGGGCCAGGCCAAAGCCAGGCGCCAGGAGCTCGGTTCAGGTCTCCTAGTGGGTGGCAAGGCTCCCATTACTGCAATCATCACCTGCTTCCTCCCAGGGTGCAAACGAGCTAGAAGCTGGAATCAGGAGCAGAGCTGGGACAGGAATCCACTCACTCTGATCTGGGACGCGGTATCTTAACCCAATGCCCACCGTGGTATCCAATTCAGTAGCTAAGGAAAGCAGTAAATTTCTTCAGCAAGTTCACTATGAACCAAGGTGGAGAACCGGAGCGAGAAGACCCAGGACAACTGGGATTCTGCTGTCACCTGCCATTCAGCAGCCATCAGAAGGGAAAGCCCCGCTGGCCCTACCTGCCTTCCCGGGGCCTGAAGTGACAGCAGCATTATCTGAAAGCTCTGGTAACTCCCAAACTCTGTATCAATGGAAAAGACCTGAGAGGATGCCCTGCAAGGCACACTCAAATATTCTGGGGACAGCGTGGGTTCACCGCATCTGGTAAGCAAGTTGGCAGTGTTTTGATAACCACAAGCAGCGCGGTTAGGGATGTGGTGATGTGTGGAATTTAAGGGGTTATCACTATTTTGTATCCTGCCTTATTCATGTAACACCAGCAAGTTGTTACCCATTTTGTCTTAAAGAATCTGAAACTTCATTCTCTCTTTTTTTTTTTTCAGAAAAATTCAAAAGAATTGCACATAACCTGTGAGAATTGCTAACGCTAAAGGGGTTGTGGCAATAGGGTGGTTTAATCTCAGGGATTTCGCCTTAGCTACACGAGACTAGGAAGAGATAATTTTACAAGACATTTTGAGGTCAAGGCAGCTGCTGTACCTAGCAGGGGGGTGGAGTGCGGGGTTGCTCTGTGTTCCCGAATGCTCTTTCATGAGACATGAATATAAACCCCTCCTTTAAAAAAAAAAAAACATACTTAGAGACTATATTTCTAAACGTCCATCAGTGTAGTCCCTTGCACTTGCATCTATAAAGCTAATTATAATTATGATGATGCTTTATAAATGACTTAAATTTGTTCCATAATAAAATGGCTTATCCAAAGGTTTCAGTCAGAAAGGCTGACGCTTCCTGTGGAAATCAAAGGGCACTATCCGTTTACAGAACTCGGCAGAGAATGAAAAACAACAACAGACTTTGCTTTCTTTGTTGAATTTTAAAATTACCGTAATTTTCAAACTGCCCCTGGGAACCCGTAAAGACTTTAGAATCGTGACGATCCTCCCAACAAATAATCGGATATTTACTGCGCGCCTACTGTGTGCCAGGCACTTGCTAGGTGGGCGCCGAGCCTCAAACCCCGGTCGTAGGGAAGAAAGTACTCGACGCCCCAAAGCCACGAGGGGACAGCACCACGCGCGACCTCCACCCCGAGGACGATCGACGCTGGAGCCCGCGTTTCTTCAAAGGCTCCCCGGTCCAGCCTGGGGGCACTTAGCAGCGAACTCGCCGACAGCGCCGGGGTCCGCAGTGCCGTCGGCTGGGACCCTCGGCAGGCCCGCGAGAGAGGTGAGACGGGGTGGGGGCGGCCGGGGCTCGCGCACCTGACGCGGCCGCCGCCCCGCCACGCTCAGGTGCCTCTGCCACCGCGCGGGCCCTGGGGCTTCCAGCCCAGCCAGCCGCCGCGCTGGGGGGCGCGGGGGGACGCCGAGCTCTGGCCTCGGCTCCCCGGGCGCGCGCGGACACAGCCGTGCTCCCTCGCGTCCCCCACCGGCCCTAGACCGTCCCTCCCGGCCTGCCTCCCCGCATTACCCTAGCGGCGACCACGGCCAGCGACTCTCCTCGGACTGCCAGCGGCGCGGGGCCGGGACCGGCGCGGGAACAGGAGGATCGCGAGCCCCGCTCGCGGAGGACCGAGGGGAGCGCGCTAGGCCCGCTCCCAGCGCGGGCCGCGGGGCACAGGACGGCAGCGCAGCCGTGACCGGACCCGTCGGCCTGGAACTCTGCCCCAGACCCAAGCACCCTAGGGGACCTGGTTCGCCCCACCCCGGCTCCGGGACGCGGCCAGGGGCGGGGTATCCAGGGGGCGGGGCATAGATGGGCGGGGCCTTCTCGCTAGGTGGGGCGTGGCGGGAGGGAACTACAATTCCCAGCCGGTCGTGCGCCGGGGCCGTGGGGGCTGCTGGGAGATTGGGTCTCCTTCCAGCTTCCCCCTTGTGTAGGGTCTGTCATTGACCCGGCGTCACTGCAGAACAAGGTCGCCGAATGATGATGTCGTGAAGCCGCCCGCCCGTCCCTGCCACGCCCGGGCGATTGCTGGCAGCGGCGGCAGCCTCGGCTGCTGCTCTCAGGCTGCCGCCGCTTCAGGGGCTTCTTCCTAAGGGAACGCGGGCGCTGGAAGGAGGACGCCGGGCCGTTGCGGTGAGTAACCTTCCCGCGCGTGGTTCGGACTTGCCCTGGGTCAACTTCCCCGGGAAGCGGAGGAGCCTCTGAGTGGGGCGCTCCTCCTGTTCTCGGAGGTCGTGCGGGGGCACCGGGGCCGGAGCTGGGTACGGGAGGGTGGGTCCTCGCGGGGTACCCGCCGGGTGGTGGTGGGAAGTGCGTTGTTTGGCGATCGTGGGTGCGAAGTGATGGGCGCTGGGCTCTGACCTCCGGGTTCTGTCCAGCTGCACCTGTGAGGATTGACAGCCTCTGCTCTCTGCCAGCCAGCATCCATCTGCAGCCTCATTTTTGAGGATGAATGGCTTTCGTGTCTGGACGTTAAACCTTAAGCCTCGATGGCCATCTGGGATGTAAGCGCGAGGGGATTGGAAAAAGCTCTTTTCTATACTGATGACCTCAGCTGGGCTTTTCTTACCGTTAGTGTTGGGCCAGATGCCCCAAGTCTTTTAAGAGAAAAACAGGAGTTTAGTTTGACAAGTAAATAACATTGACGATGTTCATTCTGCATACAAATAATCCGGCAAACACTTTAAGAAATTCTAAGCCATAATAAAAGGGGTGAACTGTCACTTGCTCACGCACCTTTTACTTGGACCTGGTGCTGCTTCTATGCTGGGGGGCGGGGAGTAGCTTTTCACTGGACACCTATCAAGCTGGAATGGAGCATAGGAACAAAATGAAGTGGACTATTCCAGTTCCTGGGTTATATCAGTAAAATCTTCGTGGCCTTCCAACCTCTGCGTTGAATTGGAAGTCTTTCGCTACAGTGATCTCCAAATAGCATGTCAGTGGTAGTGACATGCCACTTGAAGGACATTTGGTGCTGAGGAAGGGCAAGGAGAGAGATGTTTTGTTATCACAGCAGTTACTCCAGCTATTTTTAAAATCAAGTAGTGCCCAGCAAGTCTGAGCTGTGTAGCAAGCACACCCTCTGTGAAAGACAGCGTGTTGTTATCTGACAGCTCTTTAGTGCTGGGATGCAAGAGGTCAGAAGGAACAAACGTCTGAGTGCTTGTGGTCTGCCGGGCTCCCCAGTCAGGGGCTCTGCGCCCGCTGGTTGCTTAATCACTTCAACAAGCCTGTTACACTCATCTGAGGCTCGGAGGCTGTGTATGGAAAGGGTGGAGATTTAAATCGAGATCCGCACTGCTCCTAAGCCACAAGTCAGGTCACTGTTAGGCCCCTTCAGAAATGACAGCTGTTAGAGGCTGAATGGGTGAAAGGGATTTCCCAGTGTTATTTCCTGATACCTATTCCAGCACGCTTTGGGTTTCCCAAGGGCGCCTGAACCCCTTTCAGGAGTCTTACATGTGAACAAGTTCTCCTCTCTGCCTGCAGTCCACCCATCCCAGAGCTGCTCAACAAAACTGTAAAAGCCCATCCCGCATCCACCTCCTTTTTTTTTTTTTTTTTTGACAGGCAGAGTGGACAGTGAGAGAGAGAGAGACAGAGAAAGGTCTTCCTTTTGCCGTTGGTTCACCCTCCAATGGCCGCCGCGGCCGGCGCACTGCAACCGGCGCACCGCACTGATCCGATGGCAGGAGCCAGGAGCCAGGTGCTTTTCCTGGTCTCCCATGGGGTGCAGGGCCCAAGCACCTGGGCCATCCTCCACTGCACTCCCTGGCCACAGCAGAGAGCTGGCCTGGAAGGGGGGCAACCAGGACAGAATCCGGCGCCCCAACCGGGACTAGAACCCCGTGTGCCGGCACCGCAAGGCAGAGGATTAACCTAGTGAGCCGCGGCGCCGGCCTCCACCTCCTTTTCCTTACGTAAGAAGCGATGGGACTGGACTTTTATCTCAGCGGTCCTTTCCAGTTCACGGGTTTGTGATTCTGCAATTGCTAGTATGAGCCCCTGTGAATGGTTAACATCTAAGTCACACAGAGCAGAAAAAGCTTGTTTCTTAAAAATTGTATTTCAGGGCCCCAAATGTCTTAAACACCAGAAGGAATGACAGCAGGTAACATATTATGTCATGTTTATTTGGATCATCTGTACCAGTTTTTGAGCCTCTTTAGTTACTAAGCTCTGTAGTGGGTAAGGAATCTGAGTCATTAGGGTAATAGTCACGTTTAAATGACTTAGTAATTAGAGGAACTGAATTATTCATGGATTCCAGGCACATGCATTCACACCTGCAGTGTTATTGTGTCATGATAATAGGACACATTTATGCTACCACCAGTCTTAAATATTTGCCTGTGTTAACATAATCTCACGAAGCACTGAGGTGTTTTTATACATAGGCAACTAAAGCAAAGAGAAGAGGGTAAATGTGCCCAAAGTCAACTAGCTGCTAAGAGGCACCACTGAGTATTAACCCAGGCAAGATCTGAGTCTTTAACATTAATCAAGCACCTACTGTATACCAACTGCACTAGATGCTTTTATTGTGATTGTTATTTATCCTTACAACCATCTTTTTTAGAATGGAAGTTCATCATTTAGTGATTTGCCCGAAGTCCCAAGAGACAGGACTCTTTTTTCAAATATTTATTTATTTATTTGAAAGGCAGAGTAACAGAAAGAGAGAGAGAGAAATCTCCCTCTACAGATTCACTTCCCGCATGCCTGCAACAGCTGGGGCTGGATCAGGCCGAAGCCAGGAGCCAGGATCTCCATCTGGGCTTCCCACATGAGTGGCAAGAACTCAAGTACTTGGGCCATCATCATCTTTTTGCTTCCCAGGTATATTAGGAAGAAACTGGATCAGAAGCCAGAGTAGCTGAAACTCAAACCAGGCACTTAGGTGTAGGATGCGGGCATTCCAAGCAGTGACTAAACCTGCTATACAACAACACCCGTTCTGAATCAGGTTTTGAATCCACACTTGCCTTACTACAAGATCCATGTTCTTTCTCTTACTTCCCCTCACAAATCAAATTTTTATTAAGTCCCTTCTGTGGACTAGATGCTGTACTGGGTACTGGAGATGGAGTCTTTGCTATTTAGGAATATGATCTTCAGAGAGAAAGAGACAGTTAAATAGTGTACCGAGCAATAGGGATGCAGCATGCCGAGGTGTACAGAGCTTCTGTGGGCTCAGAGAAAGGGCACTGAAATCTGCCTCGAGTGGGAAGTCTTGCACCAGTCTTGGAAAGACAAATGGGAATCAGCTTGAGAAGAGAAGGAGAGAAGGGTTTGCCTTGGGCTGAATTGTGTCCTCGAAAAAAGTCTTATGTTGAAACCCCGACCTCTATAACCTCAGGATGTGATTTGGAAATGGGGCTTTGCTGGTGATTAAGTTAAGATGATGCTATTAGAGTGAGCCCTAATCCAACCTGACAGATGTTCTTATAAGGAGAGTACATTGGACATAAAAAGAGACAGCAGAGATGGAGAGGCACAGAGGAAAGATCATATGAAGCTACATCAGGAGGGTGAAGGAGAGAGCCTTAGGAGAAATACGGCCTGCCAACACCTTGATCTTGGACTTCTAGCCTCCAGAAATGTGAGAAAATAAATATCTCTCTTTAAGCCATGCGGTCTATGGTATTTTGTTATGGCAGCCCCGGTGAACACAATGTTGGAGGCAATAGGAATGAAATGAAAATGCCTTGCTGAGTTGTAGCCTGCTGAGTTAGTTTTCATGGTGAGAAGTGTTGAGAGATGCAGCTGGAGACTAGGCTAGGGCCAGAAGAGGAAGATTTTTATATGCAGTGCTAAGGAGTTTAAACTGTATCCTCATGAATAGAATGGAGGGAGTTTGTAGCCAGGGGAAGACACTAGGTTTGCATTTTGGGAAAACTACCCTGAGTCTGGTGGAGGTGGATTAAGCAGGATAAGACTGGAGGCAAGGATACCAGTTAGGCAGCCATCACCCCAGGAAGTGATCTGAAGACTTTCCCTGGATATTGAAATGTCAACTGAGACAGAACCATTGTTAGTGTAAGCATGAATGTAGAGCACATAGCTAACCCTCAGGGCACACATAAGATGTTGATAGTGTTTGTATGTGGCCCTTTGTTCCTAGAGACGGGCTTTGTTTTTGACATGTTGCTTTCTCTTATATAGGTCAAAGCTTTGCACAGCTATTGCAGAGTATTCAGTATTTTTCTGCTGTAAAAAGCAACTGTATATATTCAGACACTTTTATGGTTCCAACACTGCTCTAAGCCCAAGCCTATGACAATCTTAATGAAATACCTACATTTTTTCTGTTTCATACATGAAAATATTGAAACACCGAGAGCTTAAGTAGCTTACCCAAGTAACATAGCTAATAAACAGTAGAGTTAAGATTCAAATTCATTCTGTCTTCAGAGTCTGTGTCCTGATACTTATACTAAACTGTTGCCATATAATATTTATCAAGATCATCAGCTACTTGTGAAAGAAGGGGGAGGAATACAACAACAGAATGACTATGTTTGCTGTAAGGGGTGTGTGGTTTATCAGAGGAGATGAGGAACAACCATGATAGAAGATTAACAAAATTCTTTTTGAGAAAGGAGGAGAACGTTGAGAGGCAAGTCTTGCTTTGAACTGGTGCTTCTGGAAAGGCTTGGTGGGACAAGAG